ACCAGAGACAATGGCAACATGATGGCTACTTATAGCAAACAAGAGGGTCACAAGACAAGAACAAACCAATGGGAAACAAGACACATGACTAAGACAACCAATCAGAACATGACACAATGAACGAGAGAACCAATGGCATGAATACATGAGGGCAAGGGAAGCATGACACAAATAGGGTGAAACAATTACAAAATAAAAGACATGAAAACATGAACATGAAACAAAACCCAAAACCCAAACCCCACATTACAATGTGTCATATACACATTGTATAGGTAACTTAAGCTTACTCTATTCTTCTCCCAGTTCACCGAAAACTTAGAGGATGAATTTACGTAAATCCCACTGCTCAGACTCTGTGCGAACAAGGCGGCAACCATCGCCCATTATAGATCAACTAAAATGGTCATTATAAAGGTGTTTAAACTACTAAATATCTTTATGTACGCATATTTGGGAATCGGAATATCAGATATTTCATAATATAGTTAACACGCTTGTGGCTGTGGTGTGTCATGTGACAAGCATGACGCATTGTCATGGAAATAGTGCAATACGTTCTAAAATATCGGTCGCCTAAAAAAACTCGCGTTGGGGGGATCATCTAGAATATTTCAAAATCACGTGCGAAAGGGTTAAAACCCATGTGGTTAGGAAGTTGCCTTAGAAGGTAGCTAACTATGTTTAGGAACAAAGCTTGTGTAAAAGTTAGTGTCTTTGTTCTGCAAACTCCTCATTGAAAGTTAAAGTGATGTGACATGTAGGCAAGTACGGTGTCCCATTCTTGGAATTTGTGCTCTGTATTTAACCCATGCCACGCACGCACGCACGCACACACACACAAGCGTCCAGGATTGGGGTTTAGGGATCTTGCTCAAGGGGTAATGAGTGTGGAAGAGACATTCAATCCCACCACCTACATTTCCTGCCAGTACTGAGACTCGAACCTGCAGCCTTCGGGTTCCAAGTCTGACTCTCTGACCATTAGGCCACAACTGCCCCCTAGTTCATAAGAGGAAATACAAAACTCATCTGTTCATCCTGACCACAATACCGTGTGATTATTAATATGAACCGTTTGATAAAAAAAAAAAAAAAACTATTATATTGTGAGACTGCATATACCATTATTGCGATCTAATACTACTCACACTGTGATATAAACCGTCTACCCTGGATCTATTCTAGTGACACATAATGTTGTTAACTGGACGTAAGAAGCTTGAAGACAATCTGTGGCACTTTGTGTTGACATTTCTTTGAGTAGCCGTCCAATACTGCACTTATCTGGAGGGTTAAATTCCATCAAAGCTGCTAAAGACACTCCAATTGAGACAACAGCTTAGTTTATTGGGTGCTATTTGCTCAATATTATTGATCCATACTGGGGTATGTTCAGCATGTCAATGAAGTGGAACTGAGAAACAGAGAGAGAGAGAGAGAGGAAAGGTAGACGGATGTCATGCGGGTCGAATCGAAAACAGACAGGCTCTGTAGCATACTGATACTCCTGTGAAAAGTCTAGTAATCTTTTGGATTTCAATCAAGTTTCAATTCAAGGTTTTGCATGTTGCCTTGAAAGGTGCACTAATTAAATCTGTTGTGTTTCACATTTAATAATTACTAATAGTATTCGTATTTCTACTAAAATTATGTTTAAAATTAATGAATGAGATGAAGATTTTTTGATTGAGTAATCAATTAATGAGTTGCAAATGCACCTTGTATTTCTCCCCTGGCCCCTGCTTGATCAGGTTTCCCTGATAAAAGAACACAGGTAAAGGGATAGTTCACCCAAATGTAACATTTTCATCATTTACGCACCCCCATGTCATTCCAGACATGCCACATAGAGTACATCAAATATGGTAAATGGAAGAACCAGTGAGGTTTGTTCTTATGCATTAAGCAAATGCATTTTTGTATGCAAATTTTGTATGCACATATTAGACATATTTGATGTGCTCTATGTATGTGAATAAAATCCTAAATGAAATCGGTTCATCACATAAAGCAACCATGACTCTCGAAGAGATTTGGATTAAACCACTCAAATTTTATGAATTAATTTTTTGATTTATTAATCAACTTGAACTTGAAGCTTGAAACTTTTGATCGTATGGACTTTCCATGCATGGACAAAAAGGATGAGAGAATATTAAAAATATCGGTAATACCTGAAGTTAAAATGCATTGTAATACTTGCAGCTTCCTTATTGCATCTTAAATTGGTTGTTTACCATGTGTTTTAATGCATTATACGTTCTAAAGCTGTAAAACGAGATAATTATAATGTATTATAACTGTTAAGATCATTACATGGTGCATTACAAGACTTGATGCTTTCAATTCTTTATAATGCATTGCAAATGAAAGCTGCAAGTAAAGTTTTACGAACATACCTCCGTTAGTGTTCTGAAGTTTTTATTTGTGGCATGATTTGCAGTGACAATTCAAACAGGACATTACACACATAGATCCATAGATAATATTTGTACTTTGCACACTGCGAGACACAGTTTATCTATATTAACGTGAAATGTCATTACGTGTAAAAAAAATAAAAAAATCGTATAACTAAAGCATAAGTTTATAGCCCACTGACAAGTTACATTTAAGTGTCTCAAAACATTAAAGTTATATTGACTGAAACCTATAATTGGTGTAAATGGAAGTTTCAGCAAGTGTTGCCGATTTCCAGTGACGTGTGCGACAGCATGTTGGTGATCTTTAAGTCAACTTTATGCAAATGAACAGCGACGCAGCGTTCTGATAACTCATAAAGTTGGAGACATCATTCGAGGAGGAACACCTGCTAGCATACAGCACATAAACTCCTGAGTAATCTCCAGAAATTGAACGCCACTTAAAATTGACACTGATTGAAGCTCAAGTACATTCTGTTTATTGAGAGCACCTCTTTGTTTCTGCTTCAGGTTTTTGCTCTCCAAAACATACCAGATCATTAAAGCTAGACATGCTTTGGATCCGTAACAGAAGTGTATCTGGTCTTGAGTTTAGGGAGCTTGACTTCAAACAGACGGGCGATGCCATGATCTTCCCTCTGCCCCTTGCAGGAACAGGAACATGTCAGCCCTGTTCTAAAACTTTGACATGCCATCTTTGAAGATCAGGTGCAAAAAAGCAAAAAAAAATCTTCGCTAGTGCTGCAGAAATTGCTCTTTGCATTTAAATGGCATATTATCACGGGCCAATTTTCCCCTTGTTTCCTGACGAGATTGAGATGCTCATTTGTGTTGATGCGGGGAAGCATTGCTGTCTTTGATGT